CATGTATGGGTGAGATACTAAAATGAAAAGACAAACAAAAACTCATCCAAAAATGCCTTTATATAAGTTTGAAGAACAAGAGATCACTCGATTTTTATAGAGATGCCATAAAATTTACCTAGCATGCATAATGAAGATTGGAAATAAAATGGCAGATAGTTTAAAAGAATTCAATAAAAGTGATTATAGAAAAATACTGTAGATAAATTATGGCCAGTAAGAAATAATTCTATTAAACATTTGAAAAATTTTTAAAAAATGAGAAAAACCAAAAGAAGATATTCTATCACAGGAACAGCATGGCAGATAGGAGGTTCCAACTCTCCCTCCTCCCACAGACACACCAAGTAAACGCCTACACCCGGATTGATTCTCTCCAGGAGAAAGGCAGAATTGGGTTGAAAGATGCCTACGCACAGGATGGCTGAGACAATGCCCTCACTGAAACGGGTGGAAAGGTGCAGACACACCTGTGTGCTAACCCCACTCTGAGCACAGCGTCTCGTACCTGGGAAGGAGACCCCAGCTCCCAGCTTCTTCCTGAAAGGTGAGGGGCTGTACCATACCGAGTGCCCAAACGTTACAGAGTCTGCTGGGGGAGGGCTTGGTTCCTAAATCGCGCTGCTTGAGGAACTGCAGGGACCTGGCACCTGAGGGTTTCTCCAAGCACAGAGAACAAAGAGGACGGGAGGCTGCACTGTGCACACTCCCAGCTGCCACAGCACCAGGATCAGGCCAGCTTCCGTCATCTTTCTGGAGAGGTTCGGCTGCGTGCTTTTCCAGAAACCCTCTGTGGTCCTGGCCTCTAACCAGTCAGTAACCGGATGCCCACGCAGCAAGTAAGGACAACCCCAGTTTGCTTCAGCAGTAATCCCAGGCCAGAAGCTCCCCAGCAGGGATGCTGTGAAACTTCTGCTTCCTTGAACAGGAAGGAGAGTGGGCCCTCCTTGTGCTTACTTGCTGCAGCGACAATTCCAGCCCTACAATCTCTCCAGGGAAA